TCTGTTTGTGCACACAGCTTTTGCTTTACCTATTATCTTCATCTCAACCCATGAGTTTTCTCCCTTTTTCCCTTCTGAGTCTCTCCCTTCTCTCACAGAGGAGGAGAGTGAGTGAGTGGCTGTGTGATGCTTACTTGCTGTCTGGGGTTAAACTGTGACAGTCTGCTGAACACCCTTCTTTTGTCCCAGGAAATTCTAATCTCTTTTTTTCTGTGACATGCCTCTCTCTCTCCACCTTCCCCTGATGTATGGGTTACAAGCACAAAACACCTTCTTGTACAAACCTTCTGTGGGAATTGGGGTTGCTCCAGCTCTGTGTTCCCTATAACCTGCTGATCCCCGTGCTGGTGAGAAGGCATCCCATGAGTTTGCACACACACAGCTGAGGTGTGGGTCCCTACTTGTTGCACCCTGCACTGTCCGTCCTTTAGCTGGATACTGGCTGGGCTCCTTAGAGCATCTGATGGAGAAGATGCTCTGTCTGGCACAGGTAGAGGTTGTGTGATATTGGAAGGGTGACTTTGGGCAGTGTCCCACAGGGCTTGACTAGTCCTGTATCCACTCCAAAGCATTTTCCTCTTGAAATATTCACGCTTGTTTTACACTTACGTTGAATACTTTTGTTTCAAAAAATGTCTTTGAACTTCCCTGGTTACTGTTTAATCCAGGTGTTGATTGTCTTAGTCTTCAATACCATCAGTTGGTGGTTGATGAACATATTTTCTTTTGACTTGATAACTTGGGGCAGATGCCCTCCGAGTAGACTAGTCTTTGGCACATGCACACACACAGAATGCATGCTTGCATTCTGATCTTACCAGATATTGTTATCTAGCCCATTTGTCAGGGGTTGGCTATAGGAGCAACCCCAGAGTAAGTTCTCCCAGCCTGTTACGGTCCACAAGATCCTTATGTTGGCTCTTAAGAGACCATCTCTGAGGGCTCCAGAAACATCTGTCTTTGTGTGTTGACACTGCCTGGAGAAGGATGTTTGCCTCCATAATTGTTGATTATTCAGGTAGTAGAGATCTTCAGTGTTTTGATCCTCTGCTGCTGGTCTTAGCCCATAGTTGGTGAGCTATGTTTTTACACCCTTTAATTTCAGCAACCTTCTGCTGTTGCCTTCTGCAGTTGCTCACTCCATTTGAACTCGTTGTCACAGTCCACTAAGGACTCGTGATGGTTCTTTACTGAGATCTCAAAGTGCAAAATTAAGGTGAACACGCCAAAGGAGTTAGTTTCAATTGAGCAGTAAAAGCTTTATTATTCTGTGTCCGTAAAGTGACATGTAACAGATAAAGGGAGTGAAAAGAAAAAGTAAAGAGAAGAAAGAGGAGTATAGCTACCACTGTGGGTCCAAGGTGTCCCTATGGTCCTGGATCCAGCAGCCTCCTGCCAGCCCTGGTGATTGGTGTTGATCCTTGTTGGGGAAAGTTTCCACTTCAAGTTGCTGAGTTACATACCTTGCTCCTCCTCTGCCTCAGCAATCTCCACCTTTTCCCATAACTCATTTTCCTATCTCCACCTCTACCAGGTGGCACTGTTGCACATGCCCAGAGGGGAGTGTCTGGGGTGTGGTCTACCTCAGAGGCTGGTAGCCTTCTGGATGGAGGTGTGTTTTGGTATTATAATGACATTATAGTGAGTAAAGTTCAGTTTAAGTTTTATTTATTGTTTCTGAGACAGCGGTTGACATCCATCTTCCTTGATTGCAGTTATGTGGTTGCTCAGGCCCTCCCTGACAACAGAGAATGGCCCGGTCTCTTCGTACCATGCTGCCCTCCATTCCAGGAGTGTTTGCGCCTCATGTATGTATAGGAACCTCATTCCACTCGTAAGTTGCTACAGCAGGCCTGCCTGAAACGTGAGTCTGGCTCCTAGGTTGCATCGAGCCCATCAAAAGGGATGTTATAGTCTAACTGGAGGTACCGTTTCCTTGATGACAAGATTGAGACAATACTGATCTTCTAACCGACTCTTACTGTTGTCCATATTACCTGGTGAATCATAGAAACCAGTTGACAAGTGAGCGGTTTACCTGATCATCATTATGCAGTTGTCTTACCTGCTCTATTGTTGCACCTACCATTTAACCAAAATGCTAAATACATTGATGCTAAATTAGCAGTTTGGTTACTGCCAAGCTGCTCTCTGCAGAAATGGTAAATGTTTGCTCAGGGTTGGCCATTCAGTTAGTGTCCAGTCTTGGCACAGTACTTCCCACACCGTGGTTCTGTGGCCTTCTGCTGCATTTATGTTGACTTTCTCTTCTAACAATGTGTAGGACAAGGGATGTAGCTGCATGTCCTGCTATCCTCTTGACTCGTGACAGTGCCCTGGTTTTGGGTGTGCCTTCGATACCCTCTGGGGGTGAACAGTTACTGTGATTTTGGTTTGCGTTTCACAAGTCTGACACAACATTGACGAGTCTCATACCCTCCCTATCTTTTCCCTGTTCAGGTGTTTTCTGGCTCCAGTGTGCAGGTGTACAGACTTTAATGTTAAGTTAGTGTTCAGTGAATGAAGTATTAAATCTTTGCTGGAGTCTTACCCAATCCAATAGACCAAAAGCCTGTAACAATTTGTTCTGGGTTTTAGACTTCGTTTATTTTCCTAAAGGAGAGCCTCTGAGAAGTAGTAATCAATAACAGACATCACCAATAAAAGTTGAGGTCTTTCCTACCAGAAATTAATCTAGATGTTTTGTGTAGATTAAGGCTATTAGAAAACTGAAGCGAACGTAGCCTTCCACTATTCGGATGTATTGTTGCTTTTCCTGTAGAATAGAAACCCATAACAGTTGAACTTACTGTCCTTTGTATAGATGGCCCAAATTCCCCTCAGATCGCGCTGTGAGGTGAATGTGATGTGTCTCTACAGAGTGATTCAGGGATGTTACGTAAGACAGAGGCCAGAGACATGCCTAAAACTATCTGATAGAGAAGTCTAGGTGTAGGCATTTTAGTCACATGACAGATTTGTTGAAGAGCTGTGCTGTTACTCCTATGTTCAGTGAGCGTGTCTCTGTTCTATTTTTATGTGCCATCAATGAAGAATTGGCAGCTGCCTGTGTAGTAGTTGCTGATGGTTTCTGAGGTTTGTGGTCAAGGTGAGAAAGTAGCAGGTGAAGGAGAGAAGCAGGCATGTGTGAGGAATACGCCTTTCAGGGTCTTGTACTGATACTGATTTTCTCAAATATTCTTCCTTAGACAAGCGCTTCCTGCCAAGGTGGCATATTTTGATGTATTAAAGTTATAAAAAATTTTAAGCTTGTGATCACAGTTGCAAACTTTGTTCATTATCATTATTAGCTGAATTCAGAAAACCAAGGTTTTACTCTTCACACAGTGACCTTGGCTAGGTTGTGTGGTGCATGTCGTCAAAGTTTCTCCTCTGTTTAGCGAGGATTTTACAATTACTACTAGTTGGCATCTTAGTCTTGTTTACATATCTCAGTCATGTTTCTGGAATGTATAAATGTCTTAAATTTCTTCAGCAGTTATGCAATTCAAGGACATTATTGTTTTATCCCCTGATTATTTTTCAGGAAATATCCAGTGTAACATTAGCAGTCCAAAACCTTTAGCTTGGATGCAAAAGCCTGTTTTGTCATTCCTGCATCACTGTAAGCATTGCCTTAATACTGTTGTTTTTTATGGATTCCATATACTGATGTACTTTAAGAGTAGAAAAAGTAAAAGAGAGAGCGAAGGAAAGATAGAGCTATCTTTGAATCTTGATAATAACACCTGGAAAACTTTAACTTTGTGCCTCTTATAGGCTAGATCTGAGTGAGGCTTCTAGTTCCTAAGTTTGAAGTCGGGAGTCTTAAAATCTAAAAGAGCCCATGAAGGAAAGTCAGGAGCCTTGGGTCATGTGGGAGAAATGACTTGAAACATTTTGTTGAGAAATTGTCTAACACCCCCCACAAAGTAAGGTGTTTGTTCTGTCCTAGATAGGTTTGACCATACTGAGAGGAACATACTGAGATGCAGACCGTATTCATACTTCTAGGTTGTCATGTGGTTTTTTTGCACTTTTCCATTTTTGAAGACTGAAATAGTGTATGGCTTTGCTGACACTGTCTCTCTGAACTTTCCAGAGGTTATTCAGAAGTCCTGTGCTCACCCAGTTGGGCTCATTGGTGATCAACGTAAAGTCAGGAATATAACACATGAAGAGATTAGTGACTTTGTCACCTCCTGGAGGTGTACTTACTGCAATAGCAGAGGTGATGAGGTTATCTCCATGCTTCATGCTGAGTAAGTTAATGCTACCAAACAGAATTGGGGGTGGTTTGCTTGTAGCTTCATGTGCTGTTTACTAGAGTCACAGACTTGTGTTTCTTAAAAATTAGCAACTACCCACAGTGTCAGGAAAGAGCATGTAAAATAAAAACACGTGTGCCACATTTTTATGAGAGATCTTTACTGAACCTAAATTAATTTTCTCCTTTATTTTGTTGTATTTGAAGGTGTAATTGAATCCAGTCTTCTTGTATGAAAACTCTGACCTGTATAATATCCTGTAGGTGCTTCTTATGCTCAGCTCTTAAGCATTACTTATTGTATCATGTTGTACAAACACATTGGGTTTTTCCATAATTTCCAGATGAGAGGGCGATTATAGGAATCTATCATTAAATTAAAAAGCTGAATGACAATAGAATTAGCAGGATAATGTGAGGATTTCGTCATTTATTAGACAGTCAATAGAGTTGTTAGTTCCTGCTTTCTCTTTTTGTACCTTAATTGTGTTCTGGGAAATAATTTATGCAACTTGATATTGACAACATCGATGTCCACGGGATGTGCCAATGCAGTTGCTCTTCCACCTAGCCGTTTAAGTTCAATGGTTCTGTTCATAATGCATTCTGAATCACTTCTTGGTAAGTTAAATAGGTTTTGAATAGGTTTTGATAAAAAGATTAAGGTTTGTTTTTTGTTTTTTTTTTTTTAAGAATTTTGGGTTTTGGCTGAAGAAAAAGACATCAAGAAAAGATGGACTGGAATGTAAGACCACTCCAGAATGCTGATGCAAAGAAGAACCTGCAAAGTGAAGAAGCATGTTATACTCAGTTGTTTTCTGGTTCACATGCTTTTCCTCAAAGAAATGACTATTCAAATGCATGCACTTATGCTGGAAATAACCAAACAGTGTATCTGCCAAGTAGCAATGTTGCCTTCCCTCTTGTAAGTACTGAAGGATTCAGAACTTCAGATCAGGCCCTACCAGGAGCATCTGTAGCTGGTAATGATGGTTTTATCTCAGTTGATCAACATCCACCATCCTATGTGCCAATAGCTCCAAAACCTCCCAACCAGACATCACGTTTGCGGGCAGAGATGACTAAGACTTCTTGGACAAACTACTCTAATGCCTACGGTTATTCCCATAGAAAGTTACCTCCATTGTCTTCTCAAACTAATCCTGGCAATAACGTGAGGAATGTACCATGGGAACCTCAGTATGTCACCACAAACAGTTACACTGTGCAGCCGCAAATACCGCAGCATAATTCTATGAGAACCTCAATGTTATATCAAAGTAGCATTAATTCCCAGAATAATTCTGTGTCTCTTGGTACATCTGGGCAACACGTCCAAAACCAAATACATCATCCCAACACTCAGTTTAAAGCTTTACACTCACTGAATCACAGTACTTCAGCAAATGGACAGCTGCTACAATATCGGCCAAGTCAGGTGGGATCAAAAGCTCCTAGTGGATGTTCTGTGCCATCTTTGTTGCCTGCCAACTGTGATTCAAGAGCTGCAGCACAATCTTCAATAGGTGTACCACAGGCAGTTCAAAATGTGCCTAAGGGATATACCCTTAGCCAACAGAGGCACCCATCAGATCCAAAAAATGGTTCTGGTTTTAACAGTGTTCAGCAACACTGTCAGAAACAGCAATCTGGAGAAGTCAGTCAATCAGTTAGGCATGTCTGTATTTCAAGTGGAAGTGTGACAGCAGATCAGCTTTTTAATGAAATGTCTGTGCCATCCACTGGCATTGCCAAAGAACTGCATGATATTGTGCAAGAAATGGGAACTCTTGCTTCAGTGGCTGCTTCAAAGCCAACGAGTGATCCTGCTTCAGTTCAGGAAAGCCAGACTAGTAGTTTAATGAATGGGCCTGTTAATTCTCAAATTTCTTCAGCAGCAGCAGCAGACAGAAGAACAGTTACAAAGGACAGACTAGCTTGGGAAGCTCAAAGGTTGCTCGCCATTAAAAAAAAATGTGTCCTGCTTGAAAGGTTGCATCACTATAAAAGAAAACTCTTAACAGCTTCAGAACATGACAAAAGCACTCTCCCAGTTCTTTCAAGACATGAAGATACTTTTGCTAATAGTCTTCCGTGGGTGCCCAACCAAAGTGTACCACCTTCCCTATCTGAAGTAGTGAGGACAGAGCCTCCAATACTTAACTCTTCACCTGAAGAAAGAAACTACAAAATCATAGCCAATGCTGACAACAGAGGATTACCGGTGACTCAAAGTAACCCTCAAGTGGAACAGGGAAGCCTTTCATCAAACTCTGCTCCTGTTCCCTCTCAGAGTAAACTCCCAGCTCAGTTAAATAATGCTGAGAGCACTTCCATCTCGGAACAAAGGGATGAATATGCCTTAGCCTCTTCTCAAAGAACTGTGACATCCTTGAATAATGCTTCAGGTTTTAGTGAAGTGGATAGCTCTATCAAAACTGCATCAAAGAATGTGCCATCTCACCCCAAGAACTCATCATTTTTTCGGTTTGTATTGAGCAGCACAAATGTATTAAAAGAGAAGACAGCTGGTGCTACAGCTGATAAAATATTGACGAGTCTCCTGTGTGGTGAAAAACCACTGGTAGATACATCTGTGTCAGGTGGAAGCTTACTAAAAGATCCTAGTGAGAAGACGGTAGAAAGTTTGAAAGGTGAGCAGGCATTTATGGTTCACCCAAACTCTCCTGCATCAGAAACAACTGAATCTGGTGAAGCTAACTTCCAGAGTGATGTAGCTCAGAAAAAAACGCCATTTATTGAAAATACATCTCTTAAACAGAACAATTATAGTTACTCTGTGGAAGAGCTAACTGCATGCCTGGGCTTGTGGAGAAAGCATCCGTCAGAATCTGTAAGTGTGAAAAGTAGCCAGTCAAATGAAAGCCCCACAGCAAATCAGATTTCACCTTACAGCCAAACCACAAAAGACAGAGAACAAAATAATGTTTTGGGTAGTACAGACGAAGCAGTTTTGCCTTTAACAACTGCTTCTGTAGGACAAAAACTTGATACATTGAGTTGCAATTTGGTAAAAAGTTTTGAACTCCAAGTTGCAGTTGTCTCTCCTTTAGTACTTTCGGAACAGAGGACACAGAGTGAGCAGGCATACAAGTATCCAACATCTGCAGGGAAAACCTATCCAGTCACTGACTCTGGAAGCAATTGTAGCTTGCAAGAAGAGGGGAAAAAGGATGAAGGAACAAAAGAAACTGTTCAGTCATCACCCAGTGATTATGTTCTGGTGCAGAACGTGGACTCACATTTGCAACAGACCAAATTAGCTGATGGAAACAGAATAGTAAAAAACAGTGTGAGTGCAAATGAAAACCAAAGGAAAGTTAGTCAGTCTGCACAAGATGCCAGAGAAAATCTGCTGTTTGAATTACAAAACAAGCCCTCTCTTCCTCAATTGGGCATAAATATTTCTAGTCAAATCTTTCAAGAAGGTATAAGAGACCATAAAGACAAGCAAACTGTGTTAGAAGCAGGAGATACATCCACAGCTGTGTTGGAAGAACAGATGTTTTGTATTTCTAATGTATGTTCTCTTGTTGAAGGTGATACATCTTATAATCCACAAATAGCATGTATCTTTAGGTCAGTCCCTGAGGCGCATGCATTAAATGGTACTTCATCAGAAGGAAATGCGTCTGATCCAATGCAAAAGGAGCAACAGCTGGACTTGTATAAAAATGAGCAGAACAATAACACTCCTCAAAGAGAGAACTTGCTGCAAAAGATGTCAGAAGGATCATCAATCTGCAGGAGTAAAGTAAGTAAGATTTTGGATAGTATCACAACAAGTCATTTGCAGAAAGAAAGCAGTGACAATCCTCTTAAAACAATTTCTACCTCAGAACAAAAAATGTCATTCAGTGCATCTTTCAAGCATCCTGAAAATGACTCAGAAATCCTTGCTAGTATAAACCAGGAGTTAGCTCAGAATTCACTAGATTTCTCAATCAGCGTAACTGCTGAAACAAATGCATTCGTTGTTCCAAGAGACAACAATAAACAAAATTGTATGTCCAGTAGAAGTAGCACAGAAAAAGAGATGAACCTTTTTGGAGCAGAACCTGTTAAATGTCTAAACAATCAGCTGTCTGAACTAATGAAAGAGTTTCCATATGGCATTGAAGGTGCTGATATGCTAACAAAAGACCCAGTACAAAATGATGTTGTGGCTGAGCGGATGGAGAATCAACCCCAAAAAGAGACTCGAATCAGTGACAAGAATTCTCATTTGAAGGACCCAGTAGATGAGACAAAAACTGAAGTGTTAAGCTCTGATCAGATGCAAGAACTGTTTCCTGAACACAATCGGTGTTCCTCTAGTGACAGCAAGAGAGTGGCAAGTTGGCAGTCAGAAAAGGCTTCAGCTGAGAAGGAGAACCTTGAAGGCAGCATTCAGCCTAGTCAGAATGAACTATGTGAGAAGAAAACATCACCACTAAAAACCTCCAACCCTGGAGGTTCTTCAGTGGGTTCACTACCTGTAGCAGATGAAGTGCCACAGAGCCTCTGTAAATTTGGAATGTCTGTTTCAGAGAAAAATGATGATCAACTTTCGAAAGCTGAAAATACTAGCTCTGCAGAGAGACAGGAAACCAACAGTAACTCTGATGCTGCAGTGAAGAACACCTGTGCAGTGGGAAACCTGTCAATTTCTGAAAAAATCCCAAACAATGTTAGCAAAAATAAAAGGGACATATGTAAATACACCTCTGAAATGAACAAAAAGGCTAGGCTAACAGTGAATAATGAATACAAACCGCTTACAACACAACAGGAAAAAATTGGACTACTTAATTCTGCTGAAAACCAGGATGTTGATAAATCTAAAACGAGCGACTGTAAGGAAGAGCTGCAAATCGACAGAGGAATCCCAGTGTTAGGCAAAGAACTGAATTCTGATAAAGTCTCAGAAGAGTTGTCAGAGAAAGCTGGTAATACAGATGCAGACATGACAAAATTATCCAAAAAGAAAGAGAGAGTTTTCAAAATGGAGTCCTTTTCGAAAGATAAAACCAAAACAGCTTTGGCCGTGAAATCCAAAACAGACGTTCACAAATTTACGAAGTCAGAAGCTGTTGAAATTAAGCATGCTGAAATCAATCAAGGACAAAAAGTTAACACCTGTGAAGGGAACTCGGCTGAAGAACAGAACTGTAAGAAACAAAAGGAGATACTTGGGCAAAATGTAGGAATTAATATCAAAGAGAGAGACAAATTATCAGCAGAAATAAATAATGAAAAGCTGAATAGTTATTGTGCTGATGCTATAAAGTTCCCAAGCTTAGGCACTGTAGACTCAAAGTCAAGAAACCACAAATATTCTCAGCATAAATCTATGAAAGTTCATCCTTCACAGGAGCAGTCGTACAAACGTAAGAGAAAGGAAAATATGATCGGGAAAAGAGAGCCTAAGAAAACAAAGGTGGAAGAGGAAAGACTAAAACCATCTGAAGCAAAGGATTCCAGGCAGCTTTCACATAATTGCATGATAAATACTGACAAAGCTAAAAAATTGAACAGAGAAAATGGCTGGAAACCAAAGAATTCATTAGCAGATCGCTCTGTGCTTAAACTGCAGAGAAAAAGGGCTCGATCTTCGACTATCTCTAAAAACTATCTTTTAAACAAAGAGAGACATCTTGATGGTCAAAACAAAGACAAGTACTCTGAGAAAATGTTTCCTGATAAAAACCTGCTATACTTAAATAGAAGAAATAACAGATTAAAATTGCATCTTCAAAGGGAACCAAAAAAACACTACCTGAACAGAGTTGCATTTAAACGTATGGCACAGGAACGCATATATCTGACAAAATTAGAGACATCACCTGTCAGACCTGTCTTGCATGTAAAGCCCAAAGTGTCACAAAACAGGACAGATGCAAAAAGAGATGCTTCTCTCTCAGAAACCGAGAAGTCATGCAAATGGGAAGCACTTGAATTTAAGCTGTGTCCAGAGATCCTGTTTAGAAATCCAACTACTGATGAAGAAAGCGTATCTGCAGAGAATTCCCTGGAAAGAGAGAAAGCCATTGTGGCAGGTATGATGCTATCTTGATTATTAATTTGTAAGTAAATTGATTCGCAAGTAAGAAGTATGTACTCCTTTTTAAATTCATTTTATACAAAGCTGCAGCCAGTGAAAACGTGGTACTGTAGAAGGTGAAGGTTGAAATAGCTTAGCTAGCTTTCTGACAGACTGTAGCTGTGTGTTAATCTGAAAAAGAACATGAGGCTTTTCCTTCAATTGATTGTTCTATTCTTTTTCCTTAAGTTTTACAGAATACAGTTAGTAGTTTAGAGCATGTCAGCTTCAAGTAGTTTTGCAAGAAGATATTCTAACCTACTTGTAGAAGATAGCTTGGCTTGTTTGTAGCAAGCAGATTCCCTTGGTATAGTTACCAAAGCTGATCTGGTTTGTATTCAGTGTTCATCTGGTTGTGTATGAATCTGGCTGCATAGGCAGAGGAGGGAGAGATCCTTTGCAGCATTGAGGAAGAGAGAGTGTTTAGGCCAGACATATCCCACACACAGTCTGAGTAACCTTCGCCATCTTTGCTTTAAGCTGCCTTTTTTCCTCCTCCCTATCCCCAATCTTTTGACATTTTACGTGGTGCATTGTGAAGCGTATTTGTGTCAAATGCTATATTTGTTTTTTAAATAAAACCAAATCTCAGGTTGTACTTACCAGCCCTTGCAGTTATTTTTACGCCCATAGGAAATTTCCTTAGGCATGTGCTAGTATATGTGTTAAAACTTGATGCTGGCTAGAGACCAAGACGTGTGTGATATAGGAACTTCAAAAACATTTTTCTTAATTTTCTCTTTAGGTGTCAAGAGTAAAAAAGAAGATTGGTTAAAATGTAATTCAGGGAAGCAAAAAAAGCTGGAAGAGATCTCTACAGGTGAAATGACTGCTGATTATCCATTCTGAAATATAAGTTAAATAGTCCTTGCTTGCTTTAAAGTGCTCCTTTAGAGTAGCAAATCTTAATAAAGTACTTTAACTTATTCTTTACCAGCTCTGTGGCTGAAATGGATACTGTAGAGTAGACATATGAGTTTCAAAGATTTGTGGAGATTTTTATTGCACTAAGAATTATGTTGTTGGAATTTTACCGCATATGGGTATGCAGTTGAATCAGAGGTAGCACTGGTGACATTATTCAAGTACAGTTTTAAACTGTAGGTAAAGACCGAGCTAGCTCTTTCCTACTTTAAAATGTAGGAAGTAACATAACAAAATCTAGTGTGCGACTATAAAAACAGAAAGTGTTTGTGTTTTTTTTATTTTATTTGTCTTTCCCAGTAAGTTGACACCATCTGCACATGAGCCCGTGCTCACAAGTACTGGGACCTATGTGTCCCAGTGATCTGGACAGAATTACTTGTGTGACACACAGAGGAAAAGTGGTGCTGCTACCACATCTTCCTTGTTTCTTTTGACTGACAAATTAGTTTTTGGATGGTCTTTTGTACCCTTCAGGAGTCAACAGTTACAACAGTGGCATCTTTCATCTCAGGATCTTGGTTGTTCCATCCTTTGTAAATCTTGGGCGAGCTTGTTCCCTGCTGTCTTTGATTCTTTGCTTTAAGTATCTTTCTAGCTATAGTCTTGTTTTTCCTAGTGGTCTAACAGGAAGCGAAACAGTGCATTCATCGTGCTGTAACCTTGCTGCCATCCTCTTCTTATCAGAGTGCGAGTCCTCTGCTGACAAGTTATCTGTGTTGTGGTTTTGATGCAAGCAACACATTTTGCTTTGTTTACATATTTTATTGCTGTTGAATGTGTCCTTGGCTATTGGTGTCTGCCATTCTTTTAGCCCTTCCTCTTGTTTCTTCTCTTACTCTCACAAATGCATGTTTTTCATTCACACCTTTCTTAATATTCTTTAGAAGTCTCTCTTACAAAGATGCTCAAATGACCATTTGGTGCTTAAAGATGCATTGGAGATGGATTTAAATTTGAGGTGCCTTAGGAAGGAAGTGTTTGGCATCCTTTTTGACAGTGGGTGGCCTTAAGTACCACATGCATAAGTAGAGTCATTTGAGACTCTTTTGCTTTAACCTGCTTTTCTGTCTGTCTTTCAGCTGAGGACAGTATTCCACTTGATACAGCTATACAAATCCTGGATGGAGATGGTGAGGCTCTTCATATTCCAGTCAAAGACTCAAAAGAGGTTTTTCAGACCTACAGAAAAATGTATCTGGAAAAAAAGATGCAAAAGCCTTGATAGCACTCCTGTATCAGAGGTCTTATTCATTTTCACTGGGGAAAAAAATGCAAACACTGAAATGCTTTTTTTCTGTTTACTTCATATTTCTGAATAATTGTAAAAAAATTTTTTTGGGGGTGTTGGCAATTTTTTCCCCTATTTGCCTCGTATTTGTGAATGATTAAGATCTTATTCTTTATTTATTGCACAAACATGCTTTGGTGCTGAAAATGCCAACATATTGTTTCTTTTTGGCATGTCTGAATCTATTTTTTTTTTTTTTAAGATACAGGAGTGAGTTGAATCTTAACCAGAAAAAATCAAACTCATTTAAATTGTCATAGTCTGTTTTCTTTTCTGATTGTGGAAGATTTCTACTTGTGGTACTTTTCATTGCTGGCAGTGGAAAAATATTGCTACTGGAAAGGGATCGCAGTGGATTCCGAAGCATTACACCTTTATTTTCTACTTATGCTAGTCTGATCGTTGTGCTTCTAATAAGGTTTTCTATTTTTGTAGAAACCTTTTTTTTTTTTTTTTTTTTTGTCTGGGTATACAAGTATAAAACTCTCAAATCTAACATACAGATCAGGGGATATCGTGAAGTATTTATGCTGCTACCCAGTTTACTTACATTTCTTTTTGTGGAACTTTGAGTTCTTCATCTGAACAAAGTGCTGTAAGCTTATAGTTGACTGAAGACTTCTCTTGTTGGTGTTGTGGTTTTTTTTTTCCTCTCTCTGCTTCCTTTTCACTTGAAAGAAAAGTGTGATTGTTGAAGTGCAGGGAGTTTGAATTTGCTCTTGTCCGGTCTATGTTGCTCACTTTTACCAGACTGTAATTAATTTCTTTGTTTATAAAGTGTTAGATAATGTTTAACTAAACATTCATTGTGACATAAGAGTTATATTTGTTGCTGGATATCTCTTGTTAAAGTGCCTTTTCATTATTGTTCATAGTCTTGAATCATATTTTTTCAGAAATTTGGTACTGGATTCTTTCTATCTGTTTAAACCTTTATACTGACAGTAAAAACTCTGTAGATATCTCAGTGAACAATTTTTATACTGAAATAAACTTTTGAAGGCTATGCCTTGTCTTGTTTTAGTTTAAAAGTAGAAAGTTGTGCTTATTTGCAGTTAGCTAAATAGGCATTGAAAAAATATTCCTGTAGATGAAAAGCAGCTTTAAAATAAGTGCCAGATCTTCCTTCTTAAAAGGTTTCATAGTTGCAAGTGAGCACTGATCTTGAGTCCAAGCTTTTTCTAATGAACTCCTAACAGCATGTACTTCAGAAAACACATCAGGTATGTTTTTCTCTTCAGCATCTTTTTTTTTTTTTTCCTCTGTTTGACTTGGAGTTGGGAATTGATTAATTCTCATGAGTACTTAAAAAGCCTTCAGTACTACTCCATTCCTGAAGATGCATGCTTCTAGGCATCTTGGATATAATTACCCAGTGGAGCATAACATTTTAATTTCCTAGCTCTGTCTGTATGCTGAATTAAAAACAAACACTTTTGGAGAAAAAAGTCCTCCCCTTCCGTCATTTCTGTTCTTAAACTAGGGAACTGTTTGGGAGGTTTTTAACTTTCCTGTCTGGCACAGCTGTCCTAATAACTTTTTTTTTTTTGTGGCTGAATGCCCAAACATTAAGTCTGCGGGGAATGTTGCTGCTGGAGAATTTGATAGTAATGTTGGCAACTCTGAGAAGGTTTTATTTTGCATTTTCTGGGGAGCTTAGCGCCTGTATTACACTGCCTGTGTTAAGGAAGATTCATTGCAGCCTTAAGTGTACCCAGTACAAACAACACATAGTTCCTGTCAATAACTTATTTTGGGTTTTGTTCTGCATAATGATAAATGAAGCTGACTTAAGTGCTTGAGTAAATTATTTTCAATAGGAAATTATTCAATCCATTGACCCATGACGATTATATTTTAAATAGTGGGAGAAGTTTGCTCGCTGACCCTGTTCACCCAATAATTGAAAAAGCTACATCATCTTCCTCTCTTTTACCAAGGAGTGAATCTTGGTTCTGTCACCATGTTTACATGATGGCTTGTGGCTATGCTGCTTTGGTAGGGCTAGGATCTTTGGAATAGACTGGCCACATCCTTTCTGCCTGCTTCACGTGTTGCCTCAGTAGCTATCCCCTAAGCCTTTGCACTTAAAGTACTTTGCACTTAGGGCTGGCCTCTAGCCTGTGCTACACTTACTGCACAATTGCTGCTTGCACCTGCATGCTAAAAGGACTGTGCCAGGTGCTCTTAGTTGTCATTTCTCCTGCTCCTTATGGTGCTGACTGAAGCCACAGTACTACAGCCAGCCCTTGGCCTTGTCCAGGCAAGATATGAAAAAATAGTGCTACATGGCGTGAAGATAACTGACACATGTGGGCATGAGGACATTCACTGGCATTGAAGATACCCATGAGGCAGGAACTTACAATGTGAATGTCACCAGTAGGGTTACTTTATACAAACCATGGATCCTGTCACAGCTCTGAGAGCACTAATAGGTCTTTATGATCCTGATCATCCATATGTGGGAATTCTACCCCCAGCCCCTGCTCCTGGGCCCAGGAACTCCATTTAAGATCAAGCCTAGGCTTCAGTTCCTGCCTGAGTGATGTTCAAGGTCTACCTGGCTCCAGCTTTGTTACAATTGTGCCTGTACATGGGCATGGACATTGCCCATTGATGCAGACTTTGGCCCATGGACAGTCTTCCTGCCTGGCCTCAGATTTATGTTACCACTGTGAAGCTGCCTGTCAATCATGACTATGTCTGACCCTGGTTACTGTCACTGGATCTGATGCTGGCCTATGGATTGACTTCCTGAATTGACATTGACTCTCCTTCATCACCACAAGGTTTCCTGGTGATCTGGGCTCTGACTTGACCCTAGTTACCATCCCTGTCCTGCTTGCCTTGCTTGGGTGCTGTCGGGATGGGACCTGGGCTGGTGAGGCCCCTGCCTTACCAGTCATGGTATCTCCCTCAGCTTCTGGCCCCTGGCCCTTAGGGAACAGCTGGTCCTTGCTGAGCTGTGACAGATACAGAACTGCAGGATGGGGCAGCGCAACATCCTATCTTGTTGCTGTCTGTCTTCTCTCTTCTTCCCATTCCCATTCCTTTCTTGGAAACTTTATATGGTCAAGAGAGGTTCTCCTCCCCCTCTACTCTGCCCTGGTGAGACCGCATCTGGAATATTGTGTCCAGTTCTGGGCCCCTCAGTTCAAGAGGGACAGGGAACTGCTGGAGAGAGTCCAGCGCAGAGCCACAAAGATGATTAAGGGAATGGAGCATCTCCCTTATGAGGAAAGGCTGAGGGAGCTGGGTCTCTTTAGCCTGGAAAAGAGGAGACTGAGGGGTGACCTAATTAATGTTTATAAATACGTGAAGGGTGAGTGTCAGGAGGATGGAGCCAGGCTCTTCTCTGTGACATCTAGTGATAGGACAAGGGGCAATGGGTTCAAGCTGGAACATAGGAGGTTCCGCTTGAGTATGAGGAAAAACTTCTTTACAGTGAGGGTGACAGAGCACTGGAACAGGCTGCCCAGAGAGGTTGTGGAGTCTCCTTCTCTGGAGACATTCAAAGCCCGCCTGGATGCGTTCCTGTGTGATCTGATCTAGGTGTCCTGCTCCGGCAGGGGGATTGGACTAGATGATCTTTCGAGGTCCCTTCCAATCTCTAACATTCTGTGATTCTGTGATTCTGTGATATGCCTTGCCCAAGAGCTACCACTTCTATCCATCTTCTGTCTGTATGTGGACAGGCTGAGAGAGTTGGGGTTATTTAGCCTAGAGGAGAGAAGGCTCTGGGGAGACCTTATAGCAGCCTTACACTAGTTAAAGGGGGCCTACAGGAGAGATGGGAAGGCACTCTTTATCAGGGAGTGGAGTGATAGGTTGAGGGGTAACAGTTTTAAGCTGAAAGGAGTAGATTTAGATTAGATATTGGGAAAAGATTTTTTTGCTATGAGGGTGGTGAGGCACTCGAACAGGTTGCCCAGAGAAGTTATGGTTGCCCCATCCCTTGAGGTGTTCAAGGCCAGGTTGGATGAGGCTTTGAGCAACCTGGGCTAGTGGAATATGTCCCTTCCTAAGGCAGGGGGGTTGAAACTAGATGGTCTTTAAGGTCCCTTCCAAGCCAAACCATTCTGTGATTCTTGCTTTTGTGCCCCAGGAGAGTAATGGATGAGGTTCCTGATAAGTGTAAAAAGGTAAATGTCATGTGCTACCCATTTGCAAAGACCAGAAGATGACCTATAGGTCAGCCAGCTGTCCCATCCCACTCGATGGGTGAGGGCAAGGTTCACTTTCAGATCTCTGTATGGTAACCTAGAACAGTGCTTTGAGAGATTCATTTAAACAACAGTTTTATTAAAAGATGTAAAAATATAGCAGGATTACAGGAGACAAATGACTTGTCAAAGAAAATGTGTAACAATACTACCACCAACTGACAACACTAAAACTTACAACGATATGACAACTACAAGCAGTGTAACAATATCATAATTACAATACCAAAACTAAGTAACAACCACTATCCAAAACTTCACAGTTGCTTATTAATGCTAAAAACTTGTATAATCATTTATTGATACTAAGAAACTTCTAATGATGTTACCCTTATGTGCCAGGGGTATAGTTAGAGACAGAGAGAGAAGCTTGAAGAGGAAAGAGAAAAAAAAAAAAAAAGAAAAGGAAAAAAAGGGAAAGGAAGGATTTCAGAAAGATATCACCCTTGAATCTAGCAATGGTCTGCCTCTCGGGAGTCCTCCGAGGGCAGGTGCATGCCTTCCCAGTGTTCATTTTTATAAACAAAAGTCCTCAGGTCTCCACCTAAACTTCTTCAATTAGCATGAAAAGGTCTTCTTAATTATCAGAATGTTAGGGAGGTGCTTTAAGTCCTTGAGTCCCAAACTTCAAGGGAGCCAAATTATCAGGCATTTTGCACTTTCAGGGATAGGTGGTGCCTCTTATCAGCAAAGGGGTCAGATTAGAGG